CCCTTGAGGGTCACCAGCACGGCGCCGGGGAGAGCCCCCGCTGCCTCCAGGTCGGCCACCGCCGCCCAGAAGCGTTGAGCCCACAGGGGGTCGCTCCTCGCCCCGGCGGCGAACCCGCTCAGCAGCGTCTTCACCTGTGCCGCTGCCGTCTTGGTCGCACCACCGTCCGTCAGCGGGGCATGCATCTGAGGCGGTCCGCATCCTGCGTCCGCCCCTCCGTGGGCGGGAGCCGCGCCGCACCAGGCCGCCAGGTCGCCCAGCGCTGCGGAGCCTGCGGGAGCGGCCGTGGTGCCTGCGCCTCCGCCAGCAGCCGAGGGCCCCAGCGGTGGGATCCCGTGCGGCCAGCCTCCCGCGAGCGGAGCTGCGAGGCCAGGCGGGACTGCACCGCCCGCGTCCGCCACGGCAGCCTCTGAGGCCACCGCGTCGCCTCCGTCGCCGTCGGCAGGCAGCCGAGCCCTCAGCGCCTCCAGCTCCTCGCGCATGCGCCGCACCTCGTCGCTCTCCTCGCCGCTGCTGCCTCCGCCGAGCATCGTCCAGGGGCTGATGGCCCCAAGCCACCACCCCAGCGCGCCGAAGGCCAGCAAGGACATGGCGGCCCACTCCAGCCGCGCCCGGCCTGTCTCGGCCCTCCAGGCACTCACGCCGCTGAGGACGCCGAGGACCGCCAGGCCCAGCCGAGCTCGCCATCGCCAGCCCGCTCGGGCGCCCTCGGGGGCGGAAGGAGGAGGGCCCGCCATCGTGCTCTCTTTCAGCACGCCATCTCTCGGAGCGGATGGCTGGCTCTCTCTCCCTCCCTTCTGCAGCCTATACTGAACAAAACACACGCTCTGAACTCGCTCAATCATATATATATATATGTGTGTATATATATATAAAATATGCATACACATGTATATGTATACGTATATGTGTGTGTATATATATATATATATATATATATATATATATATATATATATATAGGGGGAGGGGGTCCTGGACCAGGGGGGGGCCTCACTTTGCCCAGTGGCTGTGGTCACCCCCCCGCCGGAGACGCCAGGACGCTCCCAGGACCCTCTAAAATGGCTCCAGAACGCCCTCAGGACAGCCCAAGAGAGGTCCGAAGCGGCCCGGGAGCACTCCAAGACGGTTAAAAAGCTGCCAAAGCGTCCCAGCAGGTCTCCGACAGCACTCCCGGGAGGGGCCCAGTAGGAAATTGTCACTGATTATCAGTGGGTTTTGAAGGGTTTGGGCGTTCTCCCCAGTTCGGCTTCCAGACGCTCCAAGGCGGCCCAAGAGGCCCGAAAGATCGCCTCAAGACGAGCCCAGAGGCCCCCAAGAGACCACCGAGACAGCCCAAGAGGGCCCCAAGACGGCCCAGGAAGCTTCCAAGACGGCCCAAAAGAGCTCCCAGAACACTCCAAGAGGAGCCCCAGATGGGGAACACGAACTGACATTTCGAGCCCTCGCCCACCAGAAGCTCCCAAGAGGCCCCCAGGAGTCCGCAAGAGGCCTCGAGAGGCCCCCAGGAAGCTCCAAGAGGCCTCCAAAAGGCGCCGAAATGGCCCCGCAAGGCTTCCAGACGCTGGTGATAATGACAATGATGATTATGCAGGGCGGCCTCAGGCCCACAACCTAAATCCCCAATACTGCTCACGCGGCATGCAAGACGCTGCGGAGATATCCTCGAGTTCGGCGGGGGAGCTTCGGAGACGACGGTGACGAAAATGATGACGATGATGGCGACTATTATGAAGTTGACGACGACGATGATGATGATGATGATGATGAGGAGGAGGAGGAGGAGGAGGAGGAGGAGAAAGAATATTATGATGAGATGTTGACAGTGGGAATGATGATGCTGCTGATGATGATGCTGATGTTGATGATGGTGATCGTGATGTGAGTGATGGTGATGATGATGGTGGTGATGCTGACGATCATGATGACGATGACGGTGATGCCGTTGAGGATGGTGATGCTGACGATCATTATGATGATGCTGCTGATGGTCAGGATGATAAGTCCGATGCTGATAATAATGGTGGCGATGCTGTTTATGGTGCTTGTGATGCAGGAGTGGGCGGATGATGAAGATGATGACGATGATGATGACGGTAACGATGACGACGATCACGACGACGACGACGATAATGATGACGATGGCGATGATGAGGATGATTATGTTGATAATTCAGGTGACGATATTGACGATGATGACAACGATGGCGATGATGACGATGGTGATGACGATGTTGCTGCTGATGGTGGTGATGGTGACGATTGTGATGATGGTGATGGTCATGGTGATGATGACGATGCCGCTGACGATGACGCCGGATATGATGCTGATGAGGATGGCGATGATGACGACGACTATTATCCTAGCTAGAACTTGAGCGCGCGCGAAGCGCGCGCGATGGTTCTAGTATACATATGTATGTATATGTACATACATACATACGTACATACAGACAGACAATCAGACAGACAGACATACAGACAAACATACAGATATACATATGCATATCTATGAATACATATACACACAGATGTATCAGGCCCGGGCCGGCTCGCCCTGCCGGATTACCCCACCTCCCCCCGGTACCGATTTTGTCCTTGGGCATCCAGGAGCTCTTTTTGCGCCCCCAGAGGCGTCCGCCATGGTTTCCGGGGACGGCAAGAAGCCGCCAAGACGGCCCAAGAGCGCACCAAGCCGCCCAAGATGGACCCATGGCCTAAGAGGCCCCCAAGAGGCCCCAAGAGTGCTCCGAGAGGAACTCCAAAGGGATGCCCAGAGGCCAACATCATTGCTATTCAACGTCTTGTTGTATATTTTTCGGGTTCCCGCGTCTGCAAGCTTTCGACGCTCCAAGACTGTCCAAGAAGCCTCCAACCTCGCCCCAAGAATGCCCAAGAGGCCCCGAAGAGGCCCTCAAGGCGGCCCCAAAGGGGCCCTAAACAGCTCAGGAGGCGCCCAAGACGGTCCAAGAGGGCTTCAGGACGGCCCCAAGAGAGGCCTAAGAGGGGGAACGCGAACCGACAATTCGAGCCTTCCGCCCCGAGAGGCTCCCAGGAGGTCCCAAATCACGATATCTTAACAAATTTCCAAGAGGCCTCTAACCCAAAACCCAGGAGCGGACCTGGAACTCCAAAGAGAACCTTTGATCGTGTTATGCGTAATTTGAAAAAAAAAAAAAAAGAGTTGCATACTACATTGGAAGATGGGGTGGCGGATGAGAAGGAGGAAAACAAGGAGGAGGCGGAGGAGGAGAAGGAAGGAGGAGGATAAGGACGAACAGCAGCAGCAGCAGGAGTTGGAGTAGAAGAAGCGGTAGGAGAAGGAGGACCAGGAGAAGGCGGTGCAGGGAAAATGAAGGGGCGACAACGATGACAAGGGATTCGGATCCAGAAAAGTGTCCCGCGTTTCTTCGAGAGCGCCAATCTGAACGACGGGAGCAAAGACCCGATCCGAAAATAAGGCTCACGCTGCAGCGGGAACACCACTGTGAACACCAGTAGGACTGTAAATTGACCATAAGAAACAGCCATGCTTTTGATCCGGTGTGTAAATGAACAGTACGCGGAGAGGGCTGGACATCATCCGAATAGATTCAGGGAAGAGGGTAGTTTAGTTTTTACCATGTGTAATTGTGAGGGATGGCGTGAAAGAGCTGGGGAGGAAGGGAGGGAGGCAGAAGAGGGGGAAGGTGGGGATATGGGACGGGGAACGAGGAGGAGGAACAGGAGGAGGAGGAGGACCGGTGTAAACCCAAGAGTCATCAACGATGTTGGAATTAACCCTCCTTCCAAGCTCCCTCTTCATTGGCCCCTACAACGGTTCATTTCTGTTGAGGGAACTGCCTCGTTGGAAGACAATTGTTTGAAGAACCTGAAGCATGACAAAAAATGGTCTCGGGATTCCAACGCAACGTATCAACCTGACTGCTGCGTCTTGACGGTCCAGAATCGTGCCAGAGCGCTATTTCTGGGACTTCTACACCGCGAATCAACATAATTGTTGCACCCGCAAAATCCTGAATCATGCCAAACCGCTATTTCTGGTACGCTGATCATGGGAATGCGTGACACTCTTGCAAAGTTTGAAAACGAATGAGGGCGGCGCTCAGGCGAGAGCCACATTTTAAAAACGACCCGCCTTCAATCCGTGAAACACTTAATTTGTAAGATGAGTGTACGCGGAGCTAAGGCGAGAGTCACATTTTGAAAACTACCCATATCCGTGAAACTGTTGCACATTTGAAAACGATTGTGCGCGGCGCTAAGGCGAGAGCCACATTTTGAAAACGATCCGCCCTCAATCCGTGAAACTCTTGCAACTGTTGAAACCGACTGGGCGCGGCGCTAAGGCGAGAGCCACATTGTGAAAACGATCCGCCCTCAATCTGTGAAGCTCTTGCAAAGTTTTAAAGCGAATGTGCGCGTCGCTAAGGCGAGAGCCACATTTTGAAAACGACCCGCCCTCAGTCCGTGAAATTGTTGCACATTTGAAAACGAGTGTGCGCGGCGCTGAGGCGAGAGCCACATTTTGAAAACGACTCGCCTTCCATTTGTGAAACTGTTGTCACTTTTTGAAGCTTCAAATGCATAAGTGGTGAGGAAGACCCGGCCCGCCCTAAAAACTGGTTTCGGGGTGCGACAGGGAGACGTTATCTATAAGGAGAAGGAATGGAGAGGGTGAGGAATAAAGAATAGAGGAATGTCTGTCCCAGGGAAGGCGAAGCAAGGGGCAAGCCGGGCGGGCGGATGAGCGCTGTAGTATTCTAGATATCAGATGCCAGTTGCCGAAGCGGAGCTCGATGTTGCAGCTTCACGCTTGAAGCTTCGATTCTATGAGAGCTTGTGATGGTGTGTCATGGAGCAGAAGGTGCTGCAAACTTTTAGTGGCTCGTCCGCCGAACCGTTGGAAGTTGCGAGCGCGCTATATTGTAGCTGCATGTATAACGTATGTGTATATGTATGGATACATCAATATATTGCGTTCCGCCCGCTTGCGGCTAGACTGTCGCGGTGCTCATGGGGTCAGTTGCGGCCAGCACCGCATCTCCCAGCTCCGAGGCGCCCAGCTTGTCTTCCTCATCGCGTGCAGCCTACTTCTCTGTCTCTGCGTGGGGGGCGCAGGCATGGGAAGAGGAGGACGAGGAAACTGACAAGCGAAGAGGAGACGAGGGGAGACGGATAGAGAGATCATACACATGTATATATACACACATTTTACTCCATCAGTGTTTGCTCCTAGGGGTTCTTACTTCGCTTTCGAAGTAAGTGATTGGCCTGTCGAGCTTTTTTCCCGTCGCCGCCCGTTGCCGCCTCGTTGCGGCTCGTTGCCGCACACTTTGGGGCGTTGTCGAGGTTTCTCCGCGTCGCCGCCAGTGGCAGGACCGCCTTGTGGCCGCCTCGTTGCCGCCCAGTTGGTGTGCGTGTGTGTGCTTGTGTGTGTGTGTGTTTGTGTGTGTGCTTGTGTGTGTGTGATTGTGTGTGTGTTTTTTGTTTGTGTGTGTGTGTTTGTGTGTGTGTTTGTGTGTATTTGTGTGTGTTGTGTGTGTGTTTTTGTGTGTGTGTGTCGAGGTTTCGCCGCGTCGCCACCCGCGAATGCCTCGTGGCTGCCTGGTTGCCTCGTGGCTGCCTCGTGGCTGCGTCGGGAATCGGAAGGCAGAGCAGGAGGAGCAGAGAGCGGGAGAGGCAGGACGGGAAGGAGGAGGGGGTGAGGAGGGGGATTTGATGATGGCCTCAGTGGCTGCAACAAGCGTGTCGACCGTGTTGGTTTGACGTTCAAGGCTCCCGCTGGCATCCGCTCGTCTTGCTGACCGTTGCGAATTGAAGATGCAGTCAGATGATGCGTCACTTGTAACCCACCGAGTGCGCGGCGAGCGTATGGCAGGTTCGCGCCGCATCGCCGCGGCGACGATGCCAGCGCGGGCGCAGAAGGATTAGTGCCCTTGAGGGACCCTTTTCGGACCCTGAGCCAACAAAAAGCAGCCCACGGCGCCAAGCCCATGCGAAAGTTATGGCCGAAAGGATATGTTCAAGGTTCAGCGTCAGAAACCAGAGCCGGCGTCGTCACATTTGGAGTCTGTTGCAATCAGATTCGACAGCAGAAGGCGGGGGATCAAGTGGCTGACTGAAAAAAGACGGCACGGCCGTGGCAACGCATCGACCACCAAGGGGGTTGCTTTGGCCGTTCTTCTCGGGCCCGTATGTGTACGGTTTTCAGTATTGGCCGTTTATTCGGTGTTGGCCGCTCGTTCAGTGTTGGCCGCTCAGGGCCGCCGAGAGTTCGATTCGCAACATCACTTGCCGCCGTCATTCGCGTGGGCCGCCTAGTCTTGCACCTCCTCCTCCTCCTCCTCCGTCTCCTCCCCCCCTTCTTCTCTCGACCCAGTTTTTGCACAGAGGAATTCCATGGTGTATCGATTCCATGACATGCAGGTCGATAGTGGCAAAGCGAGCGAACCCTCAGGCGATTTCTTCGCGGGGGGGGGGAGACATGGGCATGACTACAAAAACGCGTATTGTGTAGGAAAAGTTCGGAAGTTGCGGTGTACGTGCAATGGTGTTCTATACGCAGGCCAGCGTATCGAATTGTTGTTTCCCTGTTGCATGCGACACATCGTCTCGTGTCGCTTGTTGATTATCTGGCTATCTGTCGCCCGTCTCTTTCTATCCCCCCTTCTGTCTGTCTCTCTCGCTTTCTCTCTCTCTCTCTCTCTCTCTTTTTTCTTGTCTGACTTCGTGGTCTCGTGCAGCACAGGCCGTGATTCGTAACAAGGCTCACGCGAGGGCGGTTTTTACCCAGTTACCCCCTCCCTGCAATTGTTGGTTCGTCCTGTGTTGTTTGTTTGTTATGCTTTCTGTTTCCATGGGTGTGTGTGTGTGCGCGTGCTCATAGTTATGGGGGTTGGGAAGCAGCTCGAGTCCATGCCCATGGGATGTCTGTTCCTCGCCCATCCCATCAATACGAAATCACATTTCACGCTCGCCCCTTGGGCGCACCTGTTTTCATATTCCGACACTCACACGGCGCCTCTTGACCTACGGGGTGTTCCCTTCTTTGACCGATGGCAATCGCGCTGATGCTGCCGCGGCCCCCGGTGCTGGAACCGAGCCTCGCGATCTTGTGCACATTCCCGAAGGAGATCTTTGGGCCAAGCGGGCACGGGGACACGGGACCATATTTGCACGCCCAGGGGTGTTGGTGGCAGCGGGCCTGGCCTTCATTCCGGAACCCCCAGCGGAGGCGGACGAGGCAGCCCTTCCTCCACCGGACCCGCTGACCTAATGACCGCCCTCCGTACAGCCATCGACGCCTCCCAAGATTAAATGCACAAGCGGTTGGACCACAGGCTCTCCCATGTCAAGACCGACATCATCGCGGAGTTGGGCGAACAATTCCGAGGTGCCCCCCCCTTGGGTCTCGGCTCAGGCCCAGGGTCAGCAAAACGATTTGCAGTCGGTGATTCGATTCGCCACTTGGAGAATGTTCCGAAAGATGTCAAACACCAGTCAGGGGGGCACGCGCAAGCAACTACACATGCAGGAGGCACAGATACCTACCAAAAGCTGCGAAGACCTCCCGGAGTGGGACCGCGATGCCGACACCTTGGTTGTCGCGGGTGCCGCCAGCGAAAAGTTCACCATCGGCCAGCTAATAATTGCCATCTCCCCGGTCATGAAGTCCTTCAAGATCGAAGAATATGCATGGAAAGAGAGGCGCGGCGTTGCTCGCCGGAAAGTCCGGCCTTTCTATTACAAGTGCGATGTTCAGACGGCGAGTGGGGGCCCACCAGGGTTCAGCTCGCGCACGGCCACGCCACCCGCCTCTCCCTGGGATCGGATCTGTCAACACGCACAGCACGGCGCGAGTCTCACACAGACAAGGTAGTTGCCCGATTCTGGAGAGAGCTCTGCGGGCAGAGGCGCCAGCGAGCGGCCCGTCAGCAAGGGATCCCATGCAATGGCTGTTCTATCCATCAGCGCCGGCGCCAGAACGAGCACGGCCACCAGGTCCTGTGTCCCCTGCTCGGGATGCACCGCGCACGGCTTTGAGAGGGGCCGCATTCGAAACAAATCCGAGATGGTATTTCAATTCGCCGCGGCGGAACCAAGCCCAGAGTGGGCGATGTAATCGCGCGTTGGCCCCCTGGCGCGGGGCGCAGGCCGCTGGACGCGGCCTCCCGCAAGACATGGAGTGCGCGAGCTTTGCTGCGCGGCGACCCCCTGTCAAAGGGCCAGACATCACGCTGACCTCCCTGGCGCAGCGCCTCACGACTGGCCTCAAGTCGGGCGTGTCCCCCTACAGGACTCAAAAATAGTCAAACAATAGTCTGGGGACGATTTTTTTAGTATTTGTTGACTATTTCTGAGCATTTTAAGTGTGTGTTTTTCTTTTCGTCCGAAATCCGCCTGTAGGGGGACACGCCCGACCTACGACTGGCCATGCAGGAGGTCCACGGGCCAGTGCCCGGATTCCACGCCGCGATGAAACTGGCCCAGTTCCCCCCCGCGGCATGCGCCGCCTCAATATTTGAGCGCCGCCATGGCGGCGCGGCTGGACTCCTTCGCGCGCGTCTCCTGCGGCGACGGCGGACGCAGCGCGCTTCTCCGCCATCAGTATGCGGCCTCTGGACATGCACAACTCCCCCCTATCGAGGCGACGCCCAGCACGCAGACCACGGACCAGCGACCCCCGATGGCGGTGCCACAACGCCCACCACGTTGTGTTCGACGCGGAGGCGGTCAGGCAGACGGCGCACTGGCCCCGCGGCGAGTTCGGCGTAGCAGGAAAACGCCCCGAGCACATCACCAGCGCCAACTTCATCTTCTCGTCGGAGGCCCAGCTGGAGATGGCTCCGCCGCTGATCATCAAAGGTGCCCTTGGATTTCGCCGCATCAAGCCCGAACGCCAGAATCCATAGAAGCAGGCGTTGCCGCGCGAGTTTAAAAGGGGCCCTAAGTTGCCGACTCGCAGCGCGGAGAATGCGGGACAGCGCGCACGCGCCAGCCGAACCCACCCGATCACGTCAGCCTGGAGGCCCACCCCATGCCGCGCGAAAGGCGACGTCCGGTTCAGATCGAGAGCGCGTTCGGCCGCGGCGCATCGGACCATGCACCTCTTCACCTTCGCGTGAATCCCGTCTCCCCGAGCGCTGCCAGCGCTGGCCGATGCCGCTGCTCATCTTTCAGAGCTGCATCTGGTGGTCTGCGCACCTCCCCGCCGGAGGGCCACCCGCCCTCTGTCCGCCCGAGGCGCGACGGGCGTCCGAGCGCGGGGGCCGCTGGCCCCAACGAGACGTGACCCGACGAGTCCGAGCTCGGACTCCCACGCGGGCGAAGCGCCTGGACATCGCCGACCTGGCGCATCCCAAAGTGATCGTTTTTTATTCATCGTTTTGCCGATCGGCTCGGGCCCTCGCACCCCCCCTGACGCCCCCAGTGGAGTAGATCTTGGCTGCTTTTTGGCGTCCTTTTCGAGCAGGTGGAGCATCCCCTCGTAGGGCGCGCTGTTCCAAACAGCGGCGCTAAGCAGAGGTCCGGAGCCTCCCCCCCCTTTCGCCCAATGTCGAAGCGCCGAATACAAAACGTTGACAAATGAGTCCACCCTGGGATCTTCCGAAGGTCTTCGACGCCGCGGGAGGCCTCGGAGGATCAGCGGCCACGGAGCTCTTTCGCGCGGAAGGGGGGGGACCCAATTACGCCAAGCAAGATCCGCCGAAGGCTTTCACGAAAGCGGCGGGCGACCCGTCGGCGCGGCGAGTTCCTGGCCTTTCGAGCACGGCCCTGAAGACGGGGGCGGCCGAGGCCTCCCACGCCCGCGCCCCGACCTCGGAGGCGAGCGGGATGGCCCGAGAGTTGCGCCGACGTCGGGCCCCCGCGTGCCACGCCAACCGACCCGCCGCGAACTCGTCGAGCGCTGCCTTGACTCGAAGAAGAAAAAGCCAGATAAGACATGAACGTCTGGCGCTCCGCGCGGATTCCTTGGGTCTGCGCTGGGCCCCCCTGGCGGCGCCTCCGGCGCCACCCCTGGCGCGCTCCGCGCGCCAGGGAGGGGGGTCCAGTGCAGATTATGTTTATGTGGTCTTTTCTTATTCTATTCACGCGCGGGCGACGCCCTGCAATTTTTGGCCCGTCAACCCCCGCGCTCGGCGAGAGATGGGGCGCCCGATCATGGACATCACTTGTTCGGGCCCCATGCCCGACGGCACGACCTACACTGCCCGGCAGAGAACGGCGCGGGCCAATTCCTGCTTGCCACGCAGCGCCCGAGATCGCGCGACGCCCGCCCGCCCCGCACTCTCTCCGGTTGGCTCAAAGGAATCGCCGGCGAGTTTCGCGCCGAAGGGTCGAGAGACGAACGACGCAAAGCCAGTCTGCCGCATGGCTTAAGTCGGACATGTCCCACTACAGGAGGAAGATTCAAAAATAGTTAAACAATAGTCTGGGGACGATGTTTTGATTATTTGTCATTATCTCTGAGCATTTTTTGTGTGTTGTTTAATTTTTCTGCCAAAATCCGCCTGTAGGGAAACATGCCCGACCTAACGCATGGCGAAAGCGACCCGCCCGCTCCCCACTGACGACACGGCCTCGCAGTCGCGACGCCGGCGGGCAGCGAACGGATCAAGCCAGTGGTCGCGAGGTGCGCGCAGCATGTACAGAAAGGTATCTTCCTCCGCCGGCGGACCACACAGCGCGCGGCGACGATGGACCCCCAGTTTCGCACCGCCCCCACGCACAGCAGCGCGCAGCAGAAGGGCACCTCCTGACGCGCTGCGACTCCGGCGAGACGCGTTCCCCCCGATGCGTCGCCACTTCTCTCGCGCGGCGCCGGAGCTGCCGGGCTTTCCCGCCGCCGTGTTGCACGCGGCAGGCGCCGTCTGTCTCTTCCTGGTCGCCTGGGCCCAGCTCTCGGGCCACCTGCAGCGCTTCTGCCTACTGGTAAGTCGGGCATGTCCCTCCACAGGAGGAATATTCGAAAATAGTAAAAAAACGAATGAGTCTGGTGACGCTTCTCTGTTATTTCTCGACTCTGTTTGAGCATTGTTTGTTTTTGTTAGTCTCCAAAATCTGCCTGTAGGAGGACATGCCCGACCGAAGCCTACTGGACTCAGGCATCCTGTGGAGGCGCCCCTGGCCAGGCCCCTCCTGGGCAGCGGGCGCAGGCCCGACAACTCGCGGCACGCTCCCACGGCGCTGGACTGCGGAGACAGGTCGACACTGGCGCGCGCGCCGAGAGTAGGGGGGTACATGCGAACCCTACCTTGCTGCCTTTCCCGCCACGGCGGCGTCTCGCCGCCCCAGGGCGCGGAGGGCCGCGGCACGGACCGCGCGGGCCGCGCGCAGCGCTATAGCGGCGGCCCCGGGGATCCTCGGCCCAAGAAAAGAAACAGCGATTCCTATCGAGATGACTTTTCTAGTTCAAAATACATGGAAGGAGATGGGGGGGCTGAGGAAGCATGCGAAGCCTACCCCTACCCCCCCACGATTTCTGAGGGGGAGGGTGGGGTTCACTGCACCCCACCCTCCCCTCAGAACTCGTGGGGGGCAGGGCCAGGGTTCGCATGTGGCCCCCTGGAGATGGCGCGGGCGCGGCGCCGGCGCGGATTGTCGTCGCCGAGCCCCTGGGCGGCGCCTCCGACGCCACAAGGCACGCGGCCAGTTTGGCGCTCGAGACGGCGAAGTGTGAGGTGGCGCCAGTGGCGAAGATTTGCGCGACTGCGGCTGCAACGCACGTGCATACAGCATAAGTTGTCCCAGTTGGTACCACGCTGGATTCGGATGAGCGACGTTAGAAAACGGGGTCGTTTGCGCCGACACTGGCGCGTAAGATGCCCGCGTGAGCTTGTGCGTAAGCGCATTCGCTTCCAATGTGGCGTGCCGCGCTGGCGGCCCGCGTAAGCCACCGCTTCAGGGTGTCATGCCATCTCGCGTAAGACCCGTTTTTTATCGTCGCAATGGAGGCGGTGACCCTCGCGCTGTACCCGTGCGCCCTGCCTGGCCCCCTGCGCAGGCGAGGACCGCGCAAGGGAAAACGGCGGCGGTTGGCCAGCAGAGGGTCGTCGACACTGTCGCCGTACTCATTACGTGCGCCGCCGGGCACTTCTCTCCAATGATACGGCGAACGCGTTTCCACGAAGGCCTCTCACCTCCCCCAAGTGATCGTCGAGCTCGAACTTGTACGCCGACGCGAAGTTTGGGCTCTCCACCGCATCTTGCAGTTTCCCCCGCCGCCCATCACGTGGCCGCAGGTGCCGGCGCCAGGGCGGTGGTCAGCGCGGAAGGTGACGCCCCTGTAGATCCTCGGCCGCGCCACGGTAGTGAGGACAGCTAAGAGTTATGATGTTCCAGAAAGAATTTCGAGCACCAAACAAGTACCGAAACTCGAGGGTTTTCACGTGTCGGGCCCTGGAAGACACTCGTCCGACACTGTTTCGACACGCTTTCGACACTTTTCCGGGTGCTCGAAATCATTTCTGGGATGTGGTCCTCAAGTACGATGGGGGCAACATGAGCCAAGGACACCATCGAGAAGCGGGACGCGCGGCTGCGCCGCCTCGCCCCGCCTGCGAGGCTGCCAGTGGCGGGGGCGCGGTCGCCCCCGAGCACGGGCGCGCTCCGCCGCTGGCTCTCGCGCGCTGGACGGGGAGGCGGCCCACGGCACTTCCGTCCGAGGCAGAAGGGCGCGCCCCGTGGCTCGGTGGGCCCTCACCGCCCACCAAAGCACCCCAACCCAACCCGAAGCCATCAATTGGCCTTCCATTTCCAGTGGGGGGGGTCGGGGAACGTTGAAAAAACACATGGTGTCCGCACCCCCCCCAACCCGAAATTCGGGTCAAATTCGGGTCTTCGGGTTGGGTTGGGGTGGTCTGGTAGGTAGTCAGGCCCCGCCTCGGCCACGCGCAGAGGGGGGTGGGGGGAGGGGGGAGGGCTTCTCAGAAGCACCACTGCTTCTCAGGAGGCGCTGGCCTCGTCTAATGGATGTAGGGCTGGCGCCTTCTGAGGAGCAGCCTCCCTCTAAGAAGCCCCCCCCCTCCCTCCACCCCCTTGTGCGCGCCGCCAACCACCGCCTGGCGCGAAGAACGCGCCGAGATCCTGGCGGAGCTACCGGGGCTGCCCGGTGCGTCCGAATTCCTGCCCGGTCGCATCACCTCGCGCTCGCGAGCCCGATGTCCTGGCCCCCCCCTCGAAGAGCCAGTCTCCTTCCTGGCCCCTGGAGCGCAGTCTGCTCTGAGGAAAACGTGGGCAGGGGGAGGGGGGCGCGAGGTGCCGCGGAGCTCCTCCCGCCCTGGCCCTGCGTGAGTTGTCACTCCTGACGATGCCCGCTCCAGGCGCGAGATGAGCAGTCTTCCTCCTGGGGATGTACCCGTGTGGCCCCTGAGGTCGGGAATCCTGACAGGCGCCAGGGACTGTCACACAAACACGGGCGGGTGAGTAAACCCCCGTGGGCCCGACTGGACCAGGCAAGGTACCAGCGGCTTCGGCACCACCTCGGTGGCTACGTTTCCCCCCCGCGGAGAGCAAAGGGTGCGAAGACGAAGAGGGAGAGGAGAGGAGATAGAAGGGACGTCCCGTGCTTGCGTTTGACTTCGAGTGTGACCACAGTGCGATATAATCTCTGACTCCCCTTTCCCTCTCCGAGCTTCTCCTCGTTGCCCCATGGTCTGGGATTCGAGCGCCGGCCAGGGCACGGAAGGCGCTGGCGCTGGAGATGCGGGTCTCACCCTCGTGAGTTTCGAGGTGCAGATTTTGTTTTTGCTGTGTTGTTGTCTGAACGCTTGCACGCACGTGAACGTACGACATGTTGATCCGCTTCCTGGAGTTCTTTAGGTATTGACCGAGATGAGCATTGCGTCTCCGCGGTGATGTTTGCAGTGTACGTTTAGTACAGTTTGCGTGTTGCAGATTCCCATTGGAATGCGGCGTTGGCAAGGTGAGAGAGAGGTGCCACGACCAGCGCGATCGCATGACAGCAGCATACATGATGCAGCAGGCGCTTGGAGACCCTCGGCCAGGGGCAGCACACTTTTCAAAACTCCCCCCGAGTACGGCGATTGTAGCCAAGCTGGTATGGTGCCAGCTGGCATGTAAGATGAAGGAGTTTGCATAATACATGCAATGACAGAATCTGCTAGCCGGTGTGGACCCCACACAGATGTTTCTTGCATACTAGTTGATGCAATATACATGGTTTAAGCTACGAAGTGCAAGCTATGGGGTGCAAGCTGTGTGGTGTAAGCTATATGGTGCAATCTACGTGGCGCAATCTATGTGGTGTGATCTACCTGGTGCGAGCTATGTGGTGCAATCCATACGGTGCGATCTATGTGGTGTGATTTGTGGAATGCAATCCATATGGTGCATGGTATGCAGTCCATTATGTGTGGTGTGAGCTAGTTGTTGCAAGCTATGTGGTGCAAACTATGCAGAGCCACCGTACCCATCTAGTTCGTGTGAGCTATGTGGTGCAATACATGTGTCCTGATCTATCGGGTGTGAGCTGCGTAGTGCAATTTATGTGGTGCAATCCATGTGGTGCGATTGCTGTGGAGTAAGCTACGTGGTGCAATCTGAGTGGTGCAAGCTATAAAGTGGAATACACGTGGTGAGAGCTGTTTGTGTAAGCTATGTGCTGCAACTTATCTGGTATGAGCTGTGGTGTGTGAGCTATGCCGTGTAAGCCATGAGGCGCAATCTTTGTGGTGCAATCCAGGTGGTGCAGGCTATGTGCTATAATCTATGAAGTACCAGCTATGCGGATTGGAGACCACATTGGCGACGGGGCGGCGACGAGCAGCGACGGGGCGACGACAAGCCGGCCCAGGCGACGCACGAGCCCAGATCTGTGACAACCAAGCAAGCAGCATTGAGTGTAAGCATTGGATGGGGAACAATACGCGAAGGGGAGGGGCCAACCCCGTCCTCGGCGGCAGGTAGCGCTGAATTCCCTATACGGAACAGGCTTAGTTCTGAAAAGGTTGAAGTTTTCATTGTCCGAGCAAACGCTCCTCCCACTCACATCACGTTGGCAAGATTCACTGGCGCAGTGACACGGGGACCTTCATGCAGCTTCATGAGTCAGGTGTGCGAGTGGTTGTGTTGACGACAGCGTCGGCGACGACCACGACGACGACGACGACGACGACGACGACGACGACGACGACGACGACGACGACGACGATGATGATGATGATGATGATGATGATGATGATGATGATGATGATGATGGTGGCGTTAATGGTGTGAGCATTGACCACGACGATGGCGACGGTGATGATGATGATCTGTATGATTGCAGCGGTGATGATGACGATGGTGATGCTGTTGGTTTTCATGGCGATGGCGATGGCGATGGCGATGGTGATGATGACGTGGGCGATGATGAGGACGATGGTGGTGAACAACATGGTGAAGAGGTGCACGCGCGCAGGAACTCTGACAGCTGACAGACTTCTTCTTGAACGAATAGTGTCAAGTCGGGCCTGTCCCTCTACAGGAGGAATATTCAAAACTATTCCGAAAATAGTCTGGGGACGATGTTTCAATTTTTGTTTTTGTGCTTCTCCATATTCTTTGAATGTTTTTTGTTCCTCGTCCAAGATCCGCCTGTAGAGGGACACGCCCGACCCAGAATTTGTGCTTCCCACATGCGTTTGCACACAGCTCTTGGAAACGTTGCTTTAAGCTTGTTTTTGCAGTGATCTCGACATCTGCGCGCGCGGACGGGCGCGTATGGCCCGCCGATGCACCGTGTCCTTTTTTTGTCGCGGCCGCTGGCGAAGGCGTCGACGGCGTCAGCAGAGTTAGCTCGCGAATGCACCGTGTCCACGGAGTTGCAAAAACAAAAATAAGCCCAGTGCGCGCGAACATGTTTCGTCATTCTTCCCGACTCAGTGCTTGCACTGAAGGTGTCCTAGCGGAAACGGAACTATTAGGCGAAAGTGTCCCGCCGATTTTGGTGGCCGGCTGGGTTCCCGGGCTCCCGGTTCCGGGTTCCCGGGTTCTTGGTCATTGGTTCCGGGCCGATTTCGATGGGTTCTGGGTTCCCGGGTTCCCGGTCGATCTTTTTAGCGAAAATTATCCGTTGATCGGGTTTTTTCTTTGGTGTAATTGATGTCATTCGTTGGGTCTAGTTGGATTTCGGCATGCCCGCCGCGCGAGCGGCACACATGGTATCATTTATTGGGCACGGGCTCTTACAAAACGCCCTCAAGGCCCTTGACAGATCAGCGCATGAGCCCGCATGGTGTTTTTGATAAAACAACGGAGGCACTGGTCCCCCGCACAAGGTATGATTTGGTACGTTAGCCACCGTGAACCCCAGACCGTAGAGTATTGCACTGTAGATGTGCAAGCCATTTGAGGCAAGCTGTGTGGTGCACGATGCACGGTGCGAGCTAGAAGCGGCAACGACGTGGCACTGGTCGGCAACGGCTCACCTTCGGCGCTCCGCCGGACCCACCTGGCGCGGCAGCGAGGCAGCAACGGGCGGCAACGTGCCGAGGCTTCGCCGAACCAGCCGAGCGCACGAGGCCGCGGCGAGGCGGCAACGAACGGGCGGCGACGCGGCGAAACCTCGAGGTGCTGGCGCCCTTACGAGGCGCCCACGACGGACACCCACCGGGCACCAGACAAAATCCCAACACGCCCAACAGAAATGGGATCGTTTTTTGATTCATTGTTTTGCCGGTCGGCGCGGGCCCTCGCACCCTCCCCTCCCCCCCCTGGAGTGGATCTTGGCTGCTTTTTGCGCTTGTTTCGAGCAGGTGGAGTCCCTCCCCCATAGGACGCACTGTCGCATACAGTCGCACTAAGCAGAGGTCCGGAGCCAGACCCCCCCCTCCCCCCCCCCCTTCCGCCCAATGTCGAAACGCCGAATAAAAAAACGCTCACAATGGTTTACGAACGCAAGCGCGAACCCCTAATGCAAGCTCTGTGTTGGGAGGGTGTGTGTGTCTGTACACGTGCACATGTATCTGCTCACACGATATGCGTTTGCATATCTGTACATGCATGCACAGGCGCAGCACCGCGGGACGCGCGGCCAGTTGGATCAAATTGGCGAGGCGCCCAAGTCCTCGAACTCGCGGCGTCTGGGTGTTTGCACCGACGGCGGGACTTAAGCGCACGCGGCCAGCCGTTGGCTGGTGCCCCATTGTTCCAGCACCCGAAGCAGTTCACAATACCAGCAGCATGTCCTCACCAAGGGGCTTCAACTGCCAGCATAATATCCTCGCCCACAAGCTGGGAAGGGCCAGCAGCATATCCTTGCCCCGGCGGCCAAAGACGGCCTGCAACATGTTCTCGTCCCTGGAGGCCTAGATCTGCCAGCGACTTATCCGAAGTTGCCAGCAAAATATCCTCACCCGCTGCACAAAATTGCCAGTGCCATATCTTTACTCGGGGGCCTACGACGGCATGCAACGTATCCTCGCCCCCCCCAGGATAGAGTTGTCATCTAAGGGATAGCGGTTCAGATCAACCTACCTCGCCAAACCAAGATACAGGGTGTGACCGCAAGTAATAATATGAAAGGTTTGACACAAACACACAGACACACTCACATACTAATTGTTTAAAGCGCGGGGGAGGATTTCAGGTTGAATGCATTGCCAGACGGATGGGCATCGAAGAAATATGGGTGACAAGACGGCGCGCCTCCCAGGACATCTTGGATTTCACCCTCGAGGGTTTGGTGCCGCCGTTCTCCAACCGCGTGAAGCAGGTGTTGGAGGCAATTCTCTGCTAGTGCAGTTATGATAGTAAGCATGGAGAACGGATGCCTAAAGATTTCACGAAGGACACGGGGAGACAGCATCAGAATGGCAAGATCAATGCTTCTCGACCTAGATGCAGTAATGTATGTTTGGTTCCTTGGTTTTACTGTGTGGAGGCGCAGCCTTCTATCGTCATGGTCTACAAGGTGTCCCAGGTATTCGCGTTCTACGCCAACACTCTAGAGGACGGTTGTCTGAGACAGCGTCACGCAAAGTGACATGTGTGGGCGGAGGAGATTTAAGGTGGTGTGTTTGGATTGTGCAGTTGCCCATCTGTCAGCAGCCTAGGCACCAATCAGGCCCTTCGGGCAATGTCTCGCAGTCTTGTGTCAAGGGGCCGTCATATATCGAAGACGCCTACGGCGAATCACCGCCGCCCCCTGCCCCTTTGGAACCGCCTCTGTGGCCGACAGCTGGGCCAGAGCTTGGCCAAGCTATCGGGCCAGTTGTTCCCCGAGTCGGTTTGGAAAGACTTCGGGGAACACATGGGGGAGCAAGAAGAGGAGGAGAGGGAGGATGAGGAAAAAAGTGGATGAGGATAAGGAGGAGGAGGAGGAGGAGGCCTCTTGGGCGCCTCTTGGGGCCTCCTGGGAGCTTCCTGGGGGCATCTCGGAGGGTTTTTGGGGACCTTTGGGGGCTTCTTGGGGGCCTCTTGGCCGTCTTAGGGCGTTCATGGCTTGTCTGGCGCCGTCGGAAGCCGTCTTGGGGGCCTGTCTGGGTCGTCTTGGGGCCCTCTTAGGACATATCAGGGGTTCTTAGAGGCCATCTTCGGCGTCTTGGAGGCCTCTTGGGCCGTTTTGGGGCCCTCTTGGGGCCGTCTTGGTAGCCTTTTGAGCCGTCATGGGGCCATCTCGGAGGCCTCTTGGGCGATCTTGGGGGCCTCTTGCGCCGTCGTGAGCCGCCGGAATCCCGAGAAGAAGCACATGCCAAACTCTTTCAACAATTTCGGAATCCCGAGAAGAAGCAAATTCCAAAATCCTTCAAACAACCTTCTGGCAAATCAATGAATTTGGCCTCCTGGAAGACCTCCTCGACGCCTTTTGGACCGTCTTGGAGGCCTCTTGGGAGCCTCTTGGGCCGTCTTGGGCCATCTTGAGGCCACCTTAGGCCGTCTTGGGTGCATGTTGGGCCGTCTTGGAGGCATCTGGGAGCCATCTTAGCCATCTTGGAGGCCGTTTTGGCCGTCATGGAGACCCCTTGGGCCCTCTTGGGGCCGTCTTGGGGGCCTCTTGGGCCGTCATGGGGCCATCTCGGAGGCCTCGTGGGCGATCTTGGGGGCCTCTTGGGCCGTCTTGAGCCGTCGGAATGGCCGTCTTGGGCGTCTTGGAGACCTCTTGGGCCGTCTTGGGGCCCTCTTGGGGCCGTCTTGGGGGCCTCTTGGGCCGTCATGGGGCCATGTTGGAGGCCTCGTGGGCGATCTTGGGGCGATCGTGGGGGCCTCTGGGGCCGTCTTGCGCCGTCGGAAGGCCGAAAAGAAGCACATGCCAAAATCCTTCAAAAACCATTTGGAAAATCAATGATTTGGGCCTCTTCGGGCCCTCCTGGAGGACCTCTCGGGGGCCTCTTGGGCCGTCTTGGAGGCCTCTTGGGGGCCTCTTGGGCCGTCTTGGGCCATCTGGAGGCCATCTCAGACCGTCGTGGGTGCATCTGGGGCCGTGGTGGAGGCATCTTGGGGCTATCTTAGCCGTCTAGGAGGCAATCTTGGGCGTCTTGGAGACCTCTTGGGCCGTCTTGGGGCCCTCTTGGGGCCGTCTTGGGGGCCTCTTGGGCCGTCATGGGGCCATGTTGGAGGCCTCGTGGGCGATCGTGGGGCGATCGTGGGGGCCTCTGGGGCCGTCTTGCGCCGTCGGAAGGCCGAAAAGAAGCAAATGCCAACATCCTTCAAAAACCTTTTGGACAATTAATGATTTGGGCCTCTTCGGCCCCTCCTGGAGGACCTCTTGGGGGCCTCTTGCACTGGGGAGTTCTTTTGGAAAAAGAACCAAAACCCAAACCGAGAGGGTTCAGCACGCCAGGCACCCCTGCGATGAATCGACAGGGGGCGGCGGATCGAAGACGCTTACGGCGAATCACCGCCGCCCCCTGCCTTCTTGGAAACGCCGATGTGGCCGAAAGTTGGACTAGAGCTTGGCCAAGCTATCGGACCATGAGTTCCCCGAGTCGGTTTGGAAAGCTTTCGGGGAACACATGGGAGAGAATGATTATGAACAGGAAGAGGAAGAGGAAGAAATAGAGTAGGAGGATGAGGGTTGTTAGGAGTCTCTTGGGGCACCCTTGGGGTCTGTTGGGGGCTTCTTGGGGGCCTCTTCGAGGCCTCTTGGAGGCATCTTGGGGGCCTCCTTGGGCCTCTTGGGGGCCTTTGGGGGCTTCCTGGGGGTCTCTTTGGCCGTCTTAGGGCGTTCCTGGTCCGTCTGACGCCGTCTGGAGCCGTCTTGGGGGCCTCTCTGGGCCGTCTTGGGGCCCTCTTGGGGCGCTTCAGGGCCGTCTTGGAGGCCATGTTGGGCGTCTTGGAGGCCTCTTGGGCCGTCTTGGGGCGCTCTTGGGGCCGTCTTGGGGGGCCCTTGGGCCGTCATAGGGCCTTCTTGGAGGCCTCTTGGGCGATCTTGGGGGCCTCTTGGGCCGTCGGAAGGCCGAAAAGAAGAAAACGCAAAAAACCTTCAAAAACCTAAGGAAAACCAATGATTTTGGCCTCTTCGGGCTCTCCTGGAGAACGTCTTGGAGGCCTCTTGGGCCATCTTGGAGGCATATTGGGGCCATCTTGGCCGTCTTGGAGGGCATCTTGGGCCGTCTTGGAGGCATCTTGGAGCCATCTTACCCGTCTTGGAGGCCATCTTGGCCGTCTTGGAGGCCATCTTGGGCCATCTTGGCCGTCTTGGAGGCCATCTTGGGACCTTCTTGGAGGCGATGTTGGGGCTATCTTAGGCTCTCTGGGGGCCTCTTAAGGGCCTCTTGGGGCTCTTTTGGGGCTTCTCGGGGGCATCTTTGGCCGTTTTATGGCGTTCCTGGCTCGTCTAACGCCGTCGGGAGCCGTCTTAGGAACCTCTCTGAACCGACTTGGGACCCTCTTGGAGCGCCTCGGAGCCGTCTTGGAGGCCATCCTGGGCGTCTTGGAAGGCTCTTGGGCCGTCTTGGGACCCTCTTGGGGCCGTCTTGGGGCCGTCTTGGGCCGTTTTGGGGCGCTCTTGGAGGCCTCTTGGGCCATCTCGGGACGCTCTTGGAGGCCTCTTGGGGGCCTCTTGATCTTGGGGGCCTCTTGGGGCGTCTTGGGCCGTCCGAAGGCCGAAAAGGCGCAAATGCGGAAATCATGCAAAAACATAAGGAAAATCAACGATTTTGGTATCTTCGGGCCCTCCTGAAGGACCTCTTGAAGGCCTCCTGGGCTGTCTTGGAGGCCTCTTTGGGGCCTCTTGGGCCGTCTCGGGCCATCTTGAGGCTATCTTAGGCCGTCTTGGGTACATCTTGGACCGTCTTGGAGGCATCATAAGGCCATCTTAGCCGTCTTGGAGACCATCCTGGCCGTCTTGGAGGCATATTGGAGGCCATCTTGGAGCCGTCTGGGGCAGGAAATTGGGGAATTGAGGTCCTGGAAGGGTGGCCGGCGGGACGGGCCGAAGCCCATTGGGGAGTTCTTTTAGAAAAAGAACCAAAACCAAAACCTGAAACATCCAGCACGCCGTGCACCCCTGCAAGCAGGGGGCGGCGGATCTAGTGGCCTTCGGCCCATTCCGCCACCATGCATGAGTTGTGGGTTATAGGCCTCGTGGATGTTCGCTTGGATATCGTGGGAGGCCTCTCGGGGGCCTCTTGGAGGCAGTTTTGAGGCCTCTTGGGTGCCGTTCGGAGGCCTCTTCTTGCGCTTTTTTGTTTCGCCTCTTGGGAGCCTCGTGGTGCCTCTGAGGGGCCTCTTGGGCTCTCTTGGGGGCCTCCTGGGGGCCTCTTGGGGCGGAAGGCTTGGATTGTCGATTCGTATTCCCCCCCGAGGGCCCCTCTGGAAGCCGTCTTGGGGCCCTCTTGAGCGATCTTGGGCGCCTCTTGGGCCGTTTGTGGGCCCTCTTTGACGGTCTCGGGGCCCTCTTGCGGGCATCTTGGGCCGTCTCGGGGCGATATTGGGGGCCTCTGGGGCCAGTTTGGAGCGCCGGAAGTCCGAAAGCGCGAGAACGCGAAAAAACATCGCGGGGCACAAGGAAAAACAATGATGTTTGCGTCTTGGGGCCCTCTTGGGGGTCCTCTTGGAGCGCTCTTGGGACTTCTTTGGGGCCTCTTGGGCACGTTTTGGGGCCATCTTGGCGCTTTCTAGGGCCCTCTTGGCCAGTCTTGAGGCCCTCTGGCCTCTGGAAAATCATGCGAGACAGCCCAAAAACGCGCGGGAAGCGGGAACGCCCAGAAAATTTTGAAAATGTGGGGCCCCAGCTCTCAGAAGACTATGATCCCAGAGTCCTGAGCACAGAGAGCAGAGTACACATGAGATCCTGGAGAAACTCCACTTCGCGCCTCGCGGCACGGTGGCGGATTGTCCACCTGAAGCAGCGCAATGAGCACACCATGTTTCCACTGCCATTGCGCAAGTGTCAGGAGGAAATTGCCTTTCGACCGATCGATAAAAAAAGACGCGCTTACAGTCAACCCGCGTAATATGGATGAGCGACTTTCCAAAGTTTCCCTTGCATCATTTCCCCTTCTGCCTATCCGTGGCCGCTTTCGCTCGCCGCGCCCCGTCCGCACATTGTCGGCATGGCCTTCCAAGGCCCTTGCATCCTTACCGTGCGTCCTCAGTATGCGGGCTGCTTGTGCAACGTGAACGTGAGGCATGTTTGCTGAATGGTAGCGAATGTGTCTCGGCATCGCCTGTCGCGTTGGCATGACGTTGCCTATTGTTCTGAGATGTGGTCATGATGGTGTCGTCGTGCTGGTTGGTGCTTTCATGCCACCATGGCGTATACACGCGATCGTATGTCGTACAGCACGCATTCAAACATGAGGGAATCCCCGCCACATCGATCGATATCCCATTATCACATCGTCGTTTCTCTATATATCGCTCCTGTTGAGCTTCCGACTTGTGTCACAGATCCGTGCCCGGCCCTCATGCATCCAGCGATGCTCATCATACCTGTTGCGGCCAGGACGTCGCCCGTGGGAGGCCTCGTGCACGCCGCCTTCCCTCCCCGCACACGGCTGGGTCGATGGGAATTTGATCGTACCATCGAGCAGCGGGATGTGGGTGAGGGTGCGAGGGGAAGATGGCGGAGGAGGAGGAGGAGGAGGAGGAGGACAGGGAGCTGGATCCTGAGGCGTCTTCCCTCCCGTCCAGAGGCGGAGCTCGGCAATTTGGGATAGTGTCTCCGGAGGCGGAAGTCGGGATTTGGGATAGTGTCTCCGGAGGCGGAAGTCGGGAGCAGGAGGAAGAGGATTAGAGGAAGAAGTGAGCATGGGAAGAGGAAGGAGTGAGGGAGGAGGAGAAGGAGAGGGAGGAGCAGGAAGATGGAGGAGGATAGGGGAGAATGCATAAGGAGGATTGAGGATTGTCCGCAAGAGTGCGGGCGCAAGCGTAGGGCCACGGTGAACAATTCACAGTGTCGTGACACGTCACGACCCGAGCTCTCGACCTTATCCTTCGGTGGCATAAGCCTGATCGAGCCGTGCGGATCCGGACTAAAGGTCTCGGATTTGTTTGGCTTTCGTTGGACCTCCAGAGGCGTCCTCACATCCTCCTCCTCCTCCTCCTCCTCCTCCTCCTCCTCCTCCTCCTCCTCCTCCTCCTCCTCCTCCTCGCCTCCTCTTGAGGCTACTTTCACTCCTCCTCCTCATCCGCCTCCTTCCTCCCCTCCTCCTCCTCCTCCTGAGGCCTCCCAGGACATGCACACAAAGACGGCTGCAGCCCCTGTGTGTATAGGGGGGGCCCTGTGGCCCGAAGCAGGGCGAGAGGGTGCCCTGTGGTGGTGTCTCCACGACGCCTGGATCCTTGGGGGGCAGGTGGGGGGGCGAGGAGGGAGGAGGGAGGAGGGAGGAGGGAGGAGAGAGGAGGGAAACGGAGGCAGGCAGAGGTGGGCTCGGGCCGTCGGCACCCTCTCCTTGCCCGGTCCCAGGGGGCGTCGGTGCGCTGGCCAACCCCCCTTCGCAGATGTTTCAGCGTCGCTCCTCCCCCCCCCCCAGCCCTCCCTCCCTCCCTCCCCCCCCCTCCCTCCCTCTCTCCCTCCCTCCCTCTCGCCTTCCCCGTCACCCCTCCTCCCCCATGTTCCCTCCCTCCTCCCGGCTGAGGATGCGCCTCGGTCCTGGCCGTGCCGCGGGCGGTTGTATTGGGTGTTTTTAACTCTCCCCAGAATCGTCTTTCGTTGTTGCTTGCTGATGCAAGGATAGAGGATAGGATGTCTCCAAATGGTTGTTGGGAGATGTCGACAATGTTGAGGCCCACCTATAGGATGACCCCTCCCTGCTCCTGGCGGAACGCTTCCACATATGGGGTAGTACGGCTGTTGGCCAGGCGGCAACATGTTGAGCGCTGTTGCGTCATCCATACGTGCACCTCAGGCAGCCAGGCACGCAATATTGCAAAGCCGTGCCCTCCCAAGCCTCCTGAGAGGTTCGAAGGTTGGTCGAGAATACACCAGATATTCCATCCGAAACGATCGGGTGTCACAGCACACCTTGGATCGATGAACCCCCGTTAGTGGGGTATGTGGTCGTAAACATCAAGCACAGCATCTTCGCCGTTGTCATCATCAACAGCTATCCTCTAACGTTTCCAACCTCGTCGCCGATTCTCCTCCTGCGTTCCGTCTTCCGCATATTCCTCCTCAAGTTGTTGTTTTTCCTCCTCCTCCTCCGTTTCGCCAGCAGGCGTCTGTCACGTCTCCCTCGTCCCCTTGATCAGCCTATGTACTGGTTACTCTTGCTCCTCGTTGCCCTCCTGTCGCCCCCCCTTCCCTTGTTCCACGGGTGACCCGCAGAGGCTTCGGCGTGGAGGTGTTCGTGCTTCGCGCCCTTGGCCAGAGCGGTGCCTTTCTCCAGGGCAGCCGTGCGAGGTCGCGTGGACAACCGCGCAGAGCGAGGCGCGAAGCTTGGCGATCGAGATCACCAGTCTCGCCCGAAGGGCCATCCTCTGAGGCTCCGTTGCGCCATGTGCCGAGGAGGAGTGGGAGGTGCGGCGGGTGCGGAGCGGCTGCGTGAAGGCTGTTTGACGGGGAATGCGGACCAGTAACAGTGTGGCGACGCTGGTGAGCAGGCGATGGCGTCACACCGTGGGAGCGCGTCATCAATATGTTACCTCCCCGAGGGGGGGGAGACCCACCTGCCCGCTCCGTGCCAGGGATGGCGCCCTCGCGGCCATGTGCAGGGACATGCGCGACCGCTCCAAGCAGGCGCCCTCGGCTGGGCAGACGCGCGCGCAGACCCGCCAGGGAAGAGCAACTGCCACCATTCTGGGGGAGGGGGGCGGGCGGGAGGAGAAAGAGGAGGAGGAGGAGGAGGACCAGTGTAAGCCCAAGACGCATCAACAATGTTGCAATAAGCTCTGCCTCCTAAGAACCCCCCTAACAGTCCCTAAACTAATTGACAGTCACTGCGGGAAGTGGCACACAGGAAGACAATTGTCTGAGAACCTTCACTCGTGCCAAAATACCGTTCTTATGTCTTCAACGCCGCGAATCAACGGTGCTGTTGCTTCTTGGCAGTCCCAGATCGAGTCAGATCGCCGTTCTTGGGACTTCAACGCCACGAATCAAAGTGACTGTTGCGCCCTGTCAGTCCTAAACCGAGCCAGAACACTCTTGGGACGTCAACTATGCGAGTCCCGAAAGTGTTGCAAACGTTAAACGTGAATGCGCGCGGCACTAAGGCGAGAACCACATGTTGAAAAGGAGCCCTCCGCCTTTGAAACTGCTGCAAAGTCTCCAGATGAGTATGCGCGGCGCTCAACGAGAGCCGCATTTTGAGAACCACCTGTCCTCCATCCTTGACATTGGTGCAAGCTTGTTAAAGGGAATGCGCGCGGCGCCGATGCAAGAGCCACATTTTGATAGCGACCCGACATTCCATCCGCGAAACTGTTGCATTTTTGAGAACGAGTGCGCGCGGCGCTAAGGCGAGAGCCACGTTTTGAAAATGGCCCGCTGCACACTTCAAGCGTCAGGACTGTACATGGTGAAGAATAAGTCTCAGGCGAAATGCCTGGCCCGCCCTACCGACACGCATGGAGATGCGACTGGGAGGGATTATTTGTAAGGAGAAGGAATGGAGGAGGATGGGGATGGGAGGCGACAGGGAAAGTCAATCTATTGATTATTGTGTGGGGTCCTGGGGAACCCCCGTTGCCATGGCTGGGTCCGCCTCCGACTCCTTGCCAGAGCGCGTTCGGGGAAAATTCCAGGGGCAGTTCTGTAGGGGGAGACGGCCCAGACCTCGGGCGCGTTGGACAGCCGGCCTACAGCACAGACATTTGCATAATCATGGTTCGGATGCAATGCGGAACGAATGTTGCGATCAAGAGCTCAGGAGCCCGACGCACTGAAAGACCAGGATGTCGGAGGTCTGAGACAAGGGTGGCCGACCTTCGGGGAAGATTCGAGTTGGATCGTAGAAGTGATTGCTTATCAGTTCGGCCTGCTTGGATGTTCTTACATCCCCATGGCTATAAAACGTTTTCTCTTAGGACTGGACATGATGCCTTCAACTCTTGCGCCGGCGCGCACGAGATATACTCCGGCGGATGCAATCAAGATGGCACAGATCCGAACTTGGTTTGGGTTTGCGTTGCGGTGGGTCCGATTTCCGCCCGCGCGGATCCGAATTCAAACGTTGTGCATATGCTTCCCTTCTCGTTTTCAGTTCCCGCGGATTCCGATGTATACGTTGATGCTAATGTGCGCTACTACTTCGGAGGACCGAGAGAAATCTGATCCGCGGCACCCAGGCCCCCCGCTGTTAAGATTCTACGCGGTGGGGCGGGCCACGAACTGCCACGGACACCCCGGCTGCTGCGGGCAGCGTGTCCAGGCGTCGTACTTTCTGGGTCGCCGCCAGCGCCACAAGAGAGAAAAATCTTTCGGCCTGCGCACGGGTGTGGTATGCCTGTTTCGCCTCGCCCGACGGGCATACCACAGCCCACCCTGACTCCCCCGCGGCGTGGGGGAGTTAAAGTGAAATTGGGTATGTCAGCTCTGTTCGAAGAAGAAGAAGAAACCACGTAAACATAAACTTTTGGCGCTCCGCGCGGATTTCTTGGATCCTCGCTGGGCCCCTTGGCGGCACCTCCGGCGCCGCCCCTGGCGCGACCCGCGTGCCAGGGAGGGGGGTCCGGCTCGGATCCAAGAAATCCGCGCGGAGCGCCAAAAGTTTATGTTTATGTGTTGTTCTATATGTGACACCAAATAAATCCGAGTGCCAAAACGCACGTGCGTGTTTGGCCTGTGCTTCCTGGCCCAACGGACCTACCGCATCTCTCCCCCGCGACGTGGGGGAGTTAAAGTGAAATGTGGTATGTCGCCTTTGTGACAGCAAACAGGTTTGAGTGCCAAAACGCCCATTCGTTTTCGGCCTGCGTCCCCTGGACCAACGGACATACCACCCCTCACCTTCGCCAGACTTTCCCACTACGCGGGGGAGTTGAAGTGAGCTGTGGTGTGTCTGCCTTGTGACAACAAACAATTTTGAGTGCCGAGGCGCCCATCACCAGGACAAACATGTCTTCTTCTTAGGCCTGGACATGATGCCTTCAACTCTTGCGCCGGCGCGTTTGGGATGTACCTTAGCGGATGCAATCAAGTTGGCACGGATCCAAATTTGGTTCGAGTTTGTGTTGCGGTGGATTCGATGTCCGCCCGCGCGGATCAGAGTTCCAATTATGTGGAAAAATCAAATTGAGATGTGGCGTGTCGTTTCTGCTATAACAAAGAATTCCGGATGCCCAAACGCCCATGCGTTTTTCGGTCTGCGTCTTGGCACAACGGACATACCGCATCTCTCTTGAACCCCCCGCGGCGCGGGGGAGTTCAAACTCAGACGCGGTGTGCCGGCCTTGTTAAGATTCTGCGCGGGGGGGTGGGAGGGTACGAACTGTCCCCGGGCACCTCGGCTGCTGCAGGCAGTTTGTCAACACGCCGTGCGTTTGGTGACGCTCTCTCGCCAACCTCTTGGCGCCGCCAGCGCCTCAATAGGAAATCCAATCGTCATGCGTAAGTGCGTTTTCGGCCTGCGTCTCAGGGCCAAAACGGACTAACCACATTTCACTTTAATTCCCCCGAGACGCGGGGGAATTAATGTGAAATGTGGTATGTCGGCTCTGTGACAAGTCCGAATGCCGAAACGCCCATGCATTTGTCGGCCTGCGTCCCCTGGCCCAACGGACATACGGACATATCACACCTCACTTAAGTTCCCCCTCGGGGCGGGGGAGTTAAGATGAGATATGGTATGCCTGCCCTGTGACAAACAAGAAGTCCAAGTGCCAAAACGCCCATCCCCAGGACGGAAGTGTTTTACTCCTTGGCCCCGGACATTACGACTTCATTTTTTTTTGCGCCAGCGCGCATGAATTACACTTTGGCGGATGCAATCAAGTTGGCACGGATCCGAATTGGTTTCGGGTTTGTGTTGCGGTGGATCCGATGATCGCCCTTGCGGGTCCGACTTCCGATGTTGTGGATGTTTGTTCCGTCCTGTTTTTTGTCCCGCAGATCCGTCTGACACGCTGTAACAGATGGATATGATTTGCCCAGCTAAACCAGCGAACCGAGAGACATTGGATCCGCGGTACCCCGGACGGCCACTGTTAAGATTCTATGCGGGTGGGTGGGTGGGTGGGGCCGAACGAAAGGGCGGGATAGGGAAAGCGGGGGTTACGAGATCTGCTGCATGCAGCCGGTTTGGGCCTCGCCGCCGGGCCCATTCCTCGATACATGGGCGCCTCCCGGCGCCTGGAGGCGCTGAGAAAATCAGCTACGTGAGCTGATTCTCTACCCTACCCTTTGCCACCCCTCCCTTTGGTTCCCCCGAGGTGGGGGGTACGAACTGCCACAGACACGCCGGCTGCTGCATGCAGCGTGTCCAGGCGCCGTGCGTTTCGTGGTGCCGGCGCTCTCTCGCCAGCCCTTTGTCGCCGCCGGCGCGTCAGCAGGAAAGTCGGCCATCCTGCGCAAGTGTGTTCTGTGCGGTTCGATTGCGTTGCGCGACGCATTCAGTGCTTGTTTGAAGTCGGGCGTGTCCCTCTACAGGAGAAGAATTCAAAAATAGTCCGAGAAGTGTCTGGGGGGGATTTTTTTTTTTACAATTTGAAATATTGTTTTGACTATTTTATTTTTCGTCCAAAATCCCCCTGTAGGGGGACAGGCCCGACCTAAGGCTTGTTTTGTTGTTGCTTCGCGGCACGCGCGGTATCTCCTGACGCGTATGGCCATCAAAGCGGTAGCAGTGTTGTATGACGTTTCTATGCGGCCAACGTGCGACACATGCAGGAGCAGTAACCAGTTTGAAAACGAATGACAGGATCACAGTAGGGGTAAGTCGGGCACGTCCTTCTTCAGGAGGAATTGTTCTAAAATAGTCAAACATAGTCGGGGGACGATGTTTCCAGTATGCTTTGACCACTTGGGGGCATTTTTGTTTTACTATTTGTTACTTGTCGTCCAAAACCCGCCGGTAGGAGGACACGCCCGACCTGACAGCAGGGGGCAGGCAAAGCGCGTCCGCGCCGTGGGTCAAGCAGTGGCGAGGCGTCCTGGCTCGCCTACAGGCCCACCGAAGGATGTTCTGAGAACCCTTTGTGGTCTGCACGACATGTTCTTAGAACACTTCTGGCCGGGGCTGTCCTGTTTTAACACCTCGGGTTTATGTTCTAAGAGCATTGTAGTTGTTCTCAGAACACTTCTGGTTTCTAAGAACATTTCGTGGGTGGCAGGCCTATAGAAATGCCGGGACGGTCGGTCCTTGCTCAAGTGAGAGCACCGGCGGAGCACGCGCCTTCCGCGGCCTGCCTCTCAGAGCCGCGGCCCCAGGCCTTCCTGGACATGTGGGAGGCGCAGGCGACGCGGCTCCGCCAGGACCAGCCCGCGGGGCCGAGCCAGACATTAGGTCGGGCACGTCCCTCTACAGGAGGAATATTCAAAAATGATCCAAACAATAGTCTCGGGACGATTCCTCCATTATTGTTTGACAGTTGTTGAATCTGTTTGACATATGTTTGATTATTCGCCCCAGATCCGCCTGTAGGAGGACATGCCCGACCTAAGCCAAACATCTCCCTTGTCAGTTGCCGGGAGAGCCAAACGACGTCGGGATCCCACAAAGGGGGTGTGCCTTGGGGGGGGGGATGTGCGTTCGATCGTTTTGTTTCACAGAGCCGCCCAAAACGGATGCCCCCCAGCCGCCAGCAGGTCCCGATAGTCACCGATAGGCGGGGCATACGGGGGTGCATCTGTTTGCGGCGGTTCGGTGCACCAGCGGATCGAACTCATGCCCTCCCTCAGGGTCGCCCCCCCTTGGGTGGATCCCGACAATGGCGCCCCCGTGTTGGCTGGATGAAGCTGAACAGTTGTTTGATGGAATACGTTCGCAAGGCGGTCCTTGTATCCGTGGCTTTTCGCCCCGTCCTAACCATGTCCTCTACCGACGGCTGCCACTCCTCGATACGGTTCGGCATCAAGATGGTCTTGCTTGGACGTCTGAGGGGCTGGCATCCGTACCTTATTGCATCGCTTCGTTGAGTTTTGAGTATGTTTCCTTGGCTGCGGCTTGTTCAAGCAACACAGGGCTGATGACTTCAAGGACGGACCCATGGCCGCCACGTGATTGTTCAGCATCGTCTGTACGGTGGTGAGGATGCGCGAAATGTGTACCAGTATGTTCTAGGCCCACGGGACTGCGCGGACCTTCCGATTGTGGATGCGAAACCTTCATTGGTGGAGCGAGAGGTGGGAGGAGTGGGTAATCATCTAAGGCGTAGGAGATTGGATAACAGGAAAACGGGAGAGGAGAAGGATGAGGAGGAGGAGGAAGAGAAAGAGGAGAGGAGGAAGAGGAGAAGGAGGTAGGGTTGGCGCTCCGCCTCGAAGCAGATGAGGAGAAGGAGGAGGCGGAAGAGAAAACTGTGTGGTTAGCGCGCCGCCTCTGGGGGAAGCGAAGCCCCAGCATTCCAAGAGGGCTGGTGGAAGCAGATCTCAGGGACATCAAGGGTGCGCAGGATGGAGAGGTCAAAGTAAGAAAGAGGGGGACGAGGGACAGGAGGCAGCAAGGCAGCAGGCACCGGGGGGGGGTACTGGGGCCAGGCAGGTATCGAACAGGGAGCTGGGTGAAGCGGCAGGAGCTCAGTGCGTGTGGGGCTGCACCTCTCCTGTGCCGTCGTTTGCCTGTTCCTCTGCTCCGAAGGATCAGGATCAGGAAGAGAGCATGAGCCGTAACGCGAGAAGCAGGCGAGGTGGTTCTGGAGGAGGAGGAGGAGGAGGAGCAAAGGGAGGAGGAAGACGAAGAATCAGAAGAAGAAAACGAAAAAACGGAGGATGAAGAGGAGAATAATACGTGAGGGGAAGAAGGAGGAGGAGGCATAGGACGAGGGGGAGGAGGGGCAAGACGGGGAGCGGCACCGAGGGAGGGGCAGGAGCCGCAGCCAGACCGTGAGCGTTAACGATCTTGTTGAAATTCAGGAGGGGCGAGTTGTACATCAGGAACAACTGAACGAAAGTTAGAACCTGGGGGAACGTGAACATGAAGAGGAGGAGGAGGTCGAACAACAAGCCGTACAAGTCGAACATCGGGACGAAGTCGCTCGGATACCCTAGGCTCTCTTCAACACCTCGCAATCCTCTGCCATCTGCGCCATGGCAACGAGCCCCATGCGGCAGACGGCCACCTGGAGCTCCGCTCTGCGGGCCGCGGACGCGTGAGCCGGGAAAGTGATCCATCCCGTCTTCAGCGTCGCCCGCGGCTGGCGTGCCCACCAGCCAGGTGGGATGTGGTACGCGTCGTTCAGCTCCTGCCGGAAACCAGCCAGGGCGGCGCACTCGGCCACGTAGTGGCGCGCACTCGGTCGATGGGGACCCCCGCAGGACGGGCAGGCCGCCGTAAGATCGGGCCTGGTGGTGCTCCATCTTCTCGTCGGGCTGCGTGTCGCTCCGCAGCGAAAGATCTTCAAGTGGATCCTGTCCTCCAGTGTCAGCGAGTCCCGGACAGTGGACCACGCTCGTGCCGAGGAGGCTTCAAGGTCGATCTGGTCGACCCCCTCACAGTCATGGCGAGACGCGGATGCCTGGGCAAGAGCTCTCGCCCAGCATACTTTGCGAAGGAGGTGCGGCACCATCTCTTCGTCGCTCGAAAAGATGTGTCTGCGCCCGCACAAGCGGCGAACTCGGACATCAGGCTCGTCCACCGGGCGTCGGAACTGCACTCCGCGCTCTGGGTCGTATTGCAGGAACTCGAAGCTTACGGCATCGAAGAACGTCGTGAAATTCACCTCGAAGAATGTACTCCAGCGGAGGTCCCAGGTGGTGATGCGATCAATGGCCGTGAGCACCGCGCTGAAGATGGGGTGCAGGTCGATACTCGAGGCCCAGAAACGGCCTCGGCACCACCAAGTGCACCTCGTCGAAAGCACCGCTGACATCGCTGCCGGGACGACGTCGGGCGGCGGCAGAGAGAAAACCAGGGAACACCAAGTCCACAACGGTTTAGCGTAGGCCCGGACCGCCGTGGCCCTGGCTTCGCTGCCTCCCTGGAGGCCTCGGATGGCGCGCAAGCGCTTGCGGAGCTTGGTCCAGCCCCCGGCAGGCGTAATCGGCTCATCCGGAGCATCAGGGACAGCGAGGATGCCTATGTGATCGATCTGCGTCCTGCCCCCTCGCTTCCAGACCTGGCGCTTCCCGACGTTCTCGATAGCGCCCGTGCCTGAGTCGAAGGCGTTGGCGGCCTGCGCGCCCGACTCCATCTGCGGGACGGAGTCGAAGACGGCGGACCTGTCGCCCACGAAAAGGGATTTGGTGCCGTTGATCTCCAGGGGGGGAAGTACGTGTCACAGGACCTTCGGCGCCGTGCTGTCCCCTTGAGCGAGGCTGCGCGTAGGCCAGAGTGTCTCACTGGCCAGCTCCCCCGCCACCTGGCACCTCCGAGGGCCCCGCCAGGCAGCGTTAGTCACCGCCCGCACTCGGCGTGGCGCCTGGGCGTTGCGGAGCGCCGCGTCTGCCACCGCATGCGGCGCGTTGTCGTTGCACTCTGACAGGTCGCGCTCCACTCCGCACGAGCCGTGCTGGCAGGCGCGCAGCTACAAGCAGCAGGCGCGGACCATCGCGGAGCCCGCTTTGCAGGCGAACTGAACGCCCTGTGGCGCGGGCAGGCTGGGCTCGCAAGCTGTGAGCCAGGCCCTGAGGAGCACGGAGCCCACCTCTATAGGCCGGGGCTGCGTCGGGTCTCTCTTTGGCACCCCAGCAACCCGCCAGGCGAAGAGGAGGTGCTGGAGCTCGGTGGCGGGCCTCTCGACCAGGAGGGTCTCGCAGGCGTCCCGCCATCGCGTGTAGAGTTCGAAAAGCAAGAACTCGAAGTGCTCGGAGATCAGCTTGAGCTCGCTAGAGCGCCAACCGTCATAGCCCGCGCTGCCTTTGGCCTTGCGCACGGCGACCCGGAAGTCGGCGTAAGAGGGGTACCACTCCTCGTCGCAGGCGTCGGCGGTCTTCGGCGAGGGCTCGCGCGCCTCCGAGGCGCGCTGCTCCCACCTGGCCGCGCACCTCTGCTCGTCGTAGTTGGGGTCTGACGGGGCCCACGCTCGCTTCCACTCCCCCGCCGTGTCCTCGGCATTGAAACTGGGGCTCTCGGAGGGCCCATGAACCTCTGCAGTGGCTGCCCTCCACGCGCCCGTCGCGAAGTGCTGGAAGAGGCGGCGCTACTCGGAGCGGCGATCTCTGAGCAGGTCCCGCTGGATCGGGGAGGTGGCCTTCGAGATCTTGCCGTGCGCCTCTGCGTGCGTCGGCCGGCCTTTCGGGCCAGCTGTCAACCGACCCCGGAGGGCCGAGTCCACGCACTGGCGCAGAAGAGGGCCAGCGATGAGCTCGCCTGCACGGTCGCGGAGCTGGTGGGCAACGCGGCGACCAAGGCGTTTCAGGCGTACCAGCTCCATCGGCCCGGCGGGCCGCGCCGCTGGGGTCGCGGCCGCCCTGCGCGAGGTAGGGAGGGATCCCTTGGGGCGTTCAGCGGCCCCGTCTTGTAATACCCACCCCTGGTGGGCAGCTGCCGTCAGCGCCCCCTCGGCCCGGGCGCGCCATCGCCCCCGCCTCTCCGGGAGAGGGGCGGCGGCTGGGCAGGCCGGCAGGGTAGCATCCACGTGGCTCTGCAGCTCATCGGCGTCGCTCGCCAGCAGGATGGCGCTTGGGTCGAGCGTGAACCGCGCAATGCGGCGCATTCGCGCGGCCTCGAAGCGTCGGCAGCGAAGCGGCAAGAAGGCGATCCATCTCGGAGTATCGAAGACCCTCTCGGGACCATGTCGGACCATATCGGGCGCGCCCCTCCCCCGTCACCCGGGAGCCCGACCGCGGTGGACGCGCCGCGCGGGCCCGACTTGCCCCGGCGCGCGACCGACGCAACAAGGCCTCAAGGGGGCCCAGGGCGGGGGGGGGGGGCGAGCCAGGGTCAGCGCGCGCCGCCGCAGGTGGTCCGCGGAGCCCCGAACCCATGGCAGACCCGAGGGGCGTCGACGCGGAGCTGCACCGGCGCGCGGACAACCGGGCGGAGACCGCGCGCCAGCAGACGAACAGCGCCCGCCTAGCCCCCCGGGCCCGGCCACCGCAACAGCCAGCTCGAGAGCGGCCGGCACGCCATCGGCCCCGACGCGTCGGAGCCCATGAGGGGGCGGGGGTCAGCGCGCACGGGCGGCAGTCAGGGCGCCAGATCTCGCGGGGCCCCTCAGAGCCAGGGGCGCGCTGGCACGGGCTTGGGCGCGGGATCCTGCAGGGTCCCGCGGGATTTTTGCAGGGCCTCTCTGACTTCGGCCTCGGTTGGCCCGGGTCAGACGATCCCCGCGCGCGCGCGCCCGGCGCGTCTGAGCAGGGAAGGCGCCGCCGAGGCCGG